TACAAAGTGATATCTATCGGAGGCGTCGGGTCATATAGATTAGAAGATATGGATGAAAAACTTGTAATGCGACCGTGGAATATGATGAATCTAAAAAAAATACTATTTTTGAGTATTTATCTCCCTCAGTGCTTGTCAACGACAAAGATAAAGGGCAAGGCCCTGGGGACAGAGTTCAAGGACTCTTGCCCCCGAAATAAATACGGGAACAAGCCTCCTGGAAGGGCAAGGCCCTAGGAACAGAGTTCAAGGACTCTCGCCCCCGAAACAAACACAAGAGCAAGCCTCCTGGAAGGGCAAAGCCCTGGGGACAGAATTCAAGGACTCTTGCCCCCGAAACAAACACAGGAGCAAGGCCCTGGGGACAGAGTTCAAGGACTCTGGCCCCCAAAACAAATATAAGAGCAAACTTCTTGAATGGGCAAGGCCCTGAATACAGTTCAAAAAAAAAAAAAAGTGTACGCAAGAAAATATAAGTACTCGAGCTTTATTTCAAAAAGAGGGGCTTTGCGTCCCCAAGAGCTACAGAAAAAGAAAAAGTACAGTCGAAAAGAAAAAAGTCTTTTATCTTGCCCCGGGCATCTCCAAAACATCCGCCGAGGGTGAATCGGCGTAGAAAGGTTGAGCAGCTTCGGGAGCAGGCAGAACGGGAGGTACTTCGACAACAGAGAGACCTTGAGGAATATTATGGTCCGGGTCCTGGTATGGCAAGGCCTCGTCAGACAAATCTACTATTACCGCCTCACGCAGATCCGCCGAAACTTGCACCGGCGTTGGAATCTCGCCCTCGGCAGCAATCTCTGCTTCGGTCCGTTCCATTTCCGTCGAGGGCACGTACTTGTGGATCTGGAAGAGTGGAGAGTCTAATGGAATTCCAACAGACTGGAGCGCCTCGTCCCACCCCTTCTTGAAGAACTCCTTGCTGTTTTCCTCAAGAGCGAGGAGCATATCATCGGCGAACTCTTCTCGGAGTTGCTCCTCGGAATTCCTGTTCTGTGTCTTGGTCCTGATCCTGTCCAGCTTCTGGGTCAGAGCCAGACAGCTTTCCTCTGAGCCAACAACCCTCTCCTCCACCGCAGAGAGCCGCTGCGTCTGCTCTGTGATCCTCCCCTCAGCGTCGGCAAGGGCAGCACTTAGCTTTTCAGCGCTGACCTTAGCCAACTCGGCATCCTTGAAGAGTTGCTCGATTTGAGCAGCTTGCCCTGCGAGGGTGGAATCCCTGGCAACTACGTCCTCCTTGGCACTGGCAAAGGCACCCTTTGCTTCTTCCTTCTGCTCTCGGACCCGCTGGAGGTCCATCCTAGCCCCATGATATCGCGCCGCTATTATGGAGATCTGTTGGGTGGCCTACAAAGGAAAATGCATGTCACTAGAAGGAAAAACGGCTAAAAAAAAAAAGACTGAAGCAAAGATGAAACTTACCACCAGAGAATTCTGGATGATGGAGTGAAACAACACGTTCGTTGATCGCTCCCTGTGAGCCACCATGTCGGCCTCAAAATGCAACGTCTCACTCACTGCATTGACGACATGGGGGTCCTGCAAAATGGAATCGTCGACCCTGATCACTCGGTTCATGTGATCAGTGGCTCAAGGATTCCACTCCACGGCTTCCACTGTCGGCAGAAGGGGAGGAGAAGTCTACTGTTGCCGCTGCTGCTGTTGCTGCTGTTGTTGCTATTGTTGCTGCTGTTGTTGCTGAGAAACAGGGGGCAACCCACGGCCTCTCCCACTTTGATGCTAAGCGGAAGGGGCCCTGGATCCCCTGCCAAGGCCATCGTGCCTATGTTTAATCCTCCTCTACCTGAGGATCCCGATCACGCACTTGACCCCGACTAACGACTCTTGAGGATGGGGTGGCGCTGGTCCCTGCAGATGGGGCCCCACCGGCCGACCCTCGTCCCCTCCCAGCAGCGAGGGCTTGTCTCTGCCTTAGGAACCCTAAATCAATGCGGGGCGTACTGGACATGGCTACCTCGAGGGCGTCCTCGGCGTCTAGAGATCGTAGGATTTGAAAGTCCGACCATGAATCTCTCCCCGGAGTTTCCACCTCGGCGTGTAAAGGAACCAAGTCCTCTCTGACACCGAGCTCTTCAACTCTACCCTCTACTTCTGCCTCCGAAGCCCGGTCGGGGTCTTCTTCCAAGTTTTCCTCGACTTCTTGTCCCACCGCCTGATCGAAGAGTTCAAACCACCGTGAAGGATTGAAAGGTTGGGGAAGCTGTGAAAACTTCTTATATCCGGGAGTATACTTCAGGAGGATGTGGGCAGCCCGGCCGAGCCCGTCGGAACCAGTTAATCTCCAAACGGTGGCTAGGTCCGCAAAATTCACCAACGACCGGGGTGGAGGAACTGTTTCCCGAGGGGAGATGTCTGCACAAGCAAAAAGAGGGGAGTGGGTCATGAGCACGTAGAAAATCTCAGAAACAGAATAATAGACCCGAAGGAACTGACATACTTGTCGTTCTCCATTCCAAAGGGCATAACAAACCGTCATACTCGGGACCGACACCTCTCTGCCAAGATCCCTTAAAGATGAGTAGGTCATCCTTGTACCCCTTGTCCGAGTCAGGGAGGTGAGTTACGAGGTACATAGATGGGTCCCTGGCTTTGAGGTAGAAGTGTTGTTGAGGCGTAACTCTCAAGAGGGAATAACAAAAAAGGATATCGTTCAGCCCGACGTTTACCCCAAGACGCCTATTGAGCTCTAAGACCCCCATAATTATCCTAAAGACATTAAGGTAACACTACCCGGGAAAAAGGCAAAAACGAGAGAGGAACTGGAGAAGCAGAGGGGGCAAAGGGAACCTAATTCCACCTTCTACGATGGCTTTGATAAAAAAAGGCATTGCGTCCTCGGTACCGAGGGTACAAGGGTGCATAGGCGGGTCATAATCCTCTATGTCTACATTCGGGGGAACGTTGTACTTAACCCTAAATCTATTAATTTGTTCATCACCTTTTACTTTATACTTCCCTGGCCTCGAAGTACTAGCTTGAGGGTTCTCGGGGGCAGGGCGACGACGAGGCATCTTTAAAAAGTGATAACAAAAAATATAAGGGGGTCTTTTCCACGAAGATCCCCAAGAAGGCTTCCCGGGGATTGGTCGCTGAAGGGCAACTAGAAAACACCTCCGGTGATCGAAAAACCAAAAGAGACAGAAGGGCAAAGAAAGGGAAGATATTGGGACTCACCAGAGTATAGAAAGAAGTTTTTTTTTCTGGAAAACTTGAATCGACTCCTTCCAAGAATGTTCAGAAGCAAGGATGGGTCTGCTGGCTTTAAAGCTTTAGTGAAAAGGTTGGGCAGTTGACAAACGGAAGGAAAGAGGTCTCCGGCGAAGATTCAGGCAAGGGCTCTCTGTGAAGAAAAGTTCAGAACGATGAAATGAGGAAAGAAGAGAGAAAGCCCCTTTATATATAGCATCTATCCCATCATTGGGCGCGAAGCACGGAACGACGCATTTAATGCACACGACATCCTAAGCAGGGAAAACGGCTAGGGGCAATGATGAAGCAGTTGAGATTGTTGCAAAACCCTTCGTCTCCTTACAACGCGTGTCCTCGGTGTCAGAAGATCGAAGGCTGGGGGCAGTTGATGAGACATTTCTGGAATACTCCAAGATGAAGACACGTGTCCTCGGTGTCACTGATCCTTGTTATCGAGATCACGTACCCATCGGGTCACAAGTCCCCTCTACCCCGAGGTACTTATCATGGGATCGAGTGGCATCCAGTACGTTTTTGTGTACCGACATGTACCCTCGGTCTGATATGGTACATCGGTCGCTAGGCCTCCCCCTCTCGGATTCAAGATGTACCTATTCCTCGGCTCCGAGATGTACCTCTTCCTCGGCTCCGAGATGTACCTCTTCCTCGGCTCCGAGATGTACCTCTTCCTCGGCTCTGAGATGTACCTCTCCCTCAGTAACGAGATGTACCCCTCTTATCCAGGATGAAGTTCTCTGCTCCAGCAGAGGCTATTGATGCACTGGTCACTAGCCTAAGCTAGGCTAGGTTAGCTATCATGACCTCGTCTTACACAATCGATGTCAGAAGGCAGGGGCCACAGCCAATGAGGAATGGACGCGTGGCATATTGTGTCACATCAGAGACAGAAAGACCGCATGGCCTTGCTGACACGCGACTTGGGAAAACAAGCATTTAATTACGCCATTCCCTTGATGAAACTGCATTTAATGGTAAGGCTCAGAAGTGAAAGACAATAAATGCCTCTAAGGCTGGACATTTATTGCGTCCTCCCTGAGGGGAGCTCATTGAATAGTCGGCAGACCGATGACACAGTATTGATTGCTCGGAATCCCGAGCAGTTAAAAGAGAAGACATTCCTCATCAGAATCAGTGCGCACACTGTCTGTACCTAATGATCACCTACTGACTACACTGACAGCAATTATGAGATTTTGAGGTATAAATACTCATCGCAAAAGGCAAGATGGTATGCAACAAAAAACCTTTGCTACAATACATACTCAGTGTTTTCTTCTTCCTTTCTCTCTCAAAAACTGACTTGACCGTCGGAGGGGATACGCCAAAAAACACTTCAGCGCCTTTCTAACTTGTTCTTCTTTGTTCCAGGAATTTTTCTTCAGCCTTACTAGATCGTTCCTTTGATCCACGAGGGTCTCCCATTACCGTTCCAGGTTACCACAGGATTTCACAGGCTGTTCCAAGCAGCGTGGCTGACCACTCCACCGATTCACTCGAGTTCACTAAGGGAGAGATCTGTTTTCGTTTTTATATTGTGCAAGATCCAGCACGCACAGTCTTATTTCATTATTTTTTTTTATTATAAATTTTTTTTATTAAAAATGTGTATATAAAATGAATGAATTTAACTATTAATAGGGTGTATATAACATAGAACTAGTTACTAATGGATAATTATAGAAAACATGAAAATGAGTAGTTTGAAAATAAAAAATAAAATACAATGAGAATGGAGATTATCCCACCCAAAAGAAAACATGGGGACAACAATAATATCTATTCTCCCCCAAATGCGAAAAATCGTAGTAGTAGATATCAATTCAGAGTGAGAGTGACAGAGGAACGAGAATGGAGTATCGGGAAGACTTGAGGTCTGTACTGCCGTACTTACCTGTAGTTCTCCGAGCATCGTCACTGTTCTGGCCATCGCCAGTTGTTGAAGCGCTCAAGGCACTATTAAATGGCCCCGACCACAGCAAAGTGGACAGCGGTGAGGTCCTCTTCCTCGCCATTTCCGACATCAGGAATTCCCTCAACCTCAACATCTCCTCCGATCGTCTCGCTTCTTCCGCAGCCGATGGTTACGCACTTTTCTTTGATGACGTAATCAAAATTTTCAAATTCAAATTCAAAACAAAAATCAAAGTCATCCTCATTTCCATTTTCTAATTCATATCTACTGTCTAAATCAATCTGTCATATCAAATTGTGAATCGTTGACAACAGTTGATGTCTCGTGCCGAAGCGAAGAAATGGTTTGGGGAGGTAATGCCGGCGTTGGCGAATTTGCTGCTGCGGTTGCCGTCGCTATTAGAGATTCACTATAAGAATGCAGATGGTGTGCTTATCAATGGTGGAAGAAGAGATGGAGTGAAAACTGGTCTGCGTTTGTTAGAGCCCCAAGAGCCTGGCATAGTGTTCCTCAGTCAGGTAGTTCGCATCTTCAACTTTAACATCATTTGATTTTTTTGCATATGTTGAATGTGCGATTATCTTGTATCAGAACTGCAAGCTTAAACAACATTTGTAACTGAGTTTTAATTGTCATTTTATTATTATGAAATATCTTTTTATTAGATAAAAGTGTTACATCTCATCCCGAACCGTTTGCAGCTTTATTGTGAAGTAAATCACCCAACTTGAGCCTTTATCAGACGATTACACACATATTAGAAACATTTCTGCATACACACACCTGGAGACTTGTAAGGCACAGGAGTGTTCATGGACATACTTAAAAATCAGGGACCCATGATTGAACTTCTGACTAAATAAATGGTCTTATTCATCCAACTTCTTGAATTTTTTCATTAGATTGAAAATAAATGGTAACCAGAAAATAACAATTGGGTTGACTAACATTGCCGCCTACTACAGTCATGCACATGAGAGAACAATGGCTATGAATATTTTCTGCCACACATTTGTGTCTTCCATCATAGCCTAGGAACCCACAAGGGTAGAAAAGCATAATGGTGGCAAGAATAAGTCAAATGTGTGGCAGGTCTCATATTCCTAACCAGAACATGTATCTCTTTCCTCTGCTTTGCAAGTTCTAAATTCCACTGCTGCATGCCCCAGAAATCAAACTCATAAATACCATACAATCACTAAGAAATTGGCAGTTTTGATCCTTGAGTCAGCACATTTGCTTAAGATGCTAGGCGACTTTTTTGTTGTAGCAGAATAATAGTACCATCAATTCAAAACTATTTTGCAAGAAAATGCTATACCCAGAAAGCATCCACATTTGGTTTAACATAGTAAGAAAGCTTTACTTTGTTTCAAAAATCAGTGCAGCGGAAGGTGAAAGATTTCCATTCTTATTTCCTGCATTCATGCTTTGCATTGGATATTCATTCATTACCTATTCATTGCTGTTTTATTTTAATTACATGATTTATGACTCTCAATTTATATGTTATTTCAGGAATTGATTGGTGCTCTTCTGGCATGTTCTTTCTTTTGTTTGTTCCCAATCACCAATAGAGGTGCCAAGCATCTTCCAACAATCAACTTTGACCATTTATTTGCGTATGTTTTTCTCAGCTGTCCTTTATATTTTATTCTGAAACTGTCCTATGCATCTGCATAATTTGTATGAGGTATATATATCAATATATTTCGATTTGTACTTATTTTCCTTCTCTTACCTTTACACATAAAGTAAATTTTGCATGAATGTGATATATGAGTTACCTTAACTTGCACAATATTCACACTATGATGGACCAAAGATAACTAAGAAACAAACAAAGGGCCAAATAGGGTCCAATTCACCTTACTTTCTTCTTGATTTGAATATGGTCATCTTGCCCCTGCAAGTGTTCTGTTGTATGACATCTCCCAGTTTGCCAATTGTATTAATCACATAGTGGGACTTGGGAGGAGAATGGAATTCTGAATATTTGTTCTGCTTGTGACTTTAGATATTGGGAGGTTTTGAAAGTCAAGTACATTAAATTAGACAGGAAAAAGTTCAAACGGTCATTGCTGCTCACTGACATTATAGCTACTGTCTCTTATTCAAACAAACAAAAATAAAAGACAATATAGCTACTGTCTAAGGGGGATCTTGTACATAACTAAAGGAGCACTTGTGCTACATCATTCATCTGCTTCATTTTGTGCTTATTGTTACTGAAAATCAGAGTTTCATTTTAATATGTTATTTGGTTGGCTGAAACTGTATCACAGGAAGCACAATGAGCATGGCAAAGAAGTTTGAAAGACATGGCAAATCTTAGTCATATAATCGATGCTAAGGTGTATGCATCAGTCGAAGAATTGCTTCATTGAACATTTGTGAGGCGCGCACATGTCACACCCATCTTTATTGTTTTTGATTAGTATTACATATCCTTCCACACTGGAGGACACTAATTAATGGGGAAGCAATGCATTGTTATAAAAAAAGGAATAGGGCAATTTACAGCTTTGGCCACTCAACTCCAATGGTGTCATTTAGGTCCTTAAAGTTTTTAATTTGTTTCTAAATGGTTCAGTTGCTAACTTCCGTCCAACTAAAGAATGAGAATAGACACGTGGCGACCACAATCAAAAGACATGTAACCTGTGTCCATTAATTATTTGGACATAAAGGTAACAATATGACCATTTTAAAACATATTGGAAATTTAAGGACCAAACACAATTGGAAGTACGAGAACTAAAGTGAGAGTGAGTGTATACTTCAGGGTTGAGAAGTATAATTTACCCAAAACAATATTTGCGGTTTGATGATCCATCAGATCCCAATCAAGTAAGATCTAGAAATTCTTGACCCAAAATTATCTCAGTGGTCAAAAGGCTCCCGGGGAGGAGTGCCCTTTCGATAAATAAAGATAAAAAACATCTTTTTGATGTACAGAGGTTAAGAAGAAGCAGCTTAGGTACAGCAATAGATTAAAAAAGGAAAGCACCAGACAAATGACATTAGAAAATGATGAAATAGTTGAGACTTAGGAGACATACACAAATATACCAGCAACCCAAGAGCAGTTGGTAAGTGATTCATGACTCTATTCTCCTCTTCATTTTATCTTACTTCTACTATAGAACTGGGAGAAAGAGACAAAATAAGAAAAGGGATTACTGAATTTTCATAAGGAGTATGCTATGAAACATAGAATTCTCCATAGAGAATAAGATCCAAAATCTTAATAATCCACTCTCTTTAATCTAAATAACAAAGAGTATGTGATTATTACTGGCTAAGTCTCCCATCCATATAATGAGTACTCTCTAACTAAAATTCTTTCATGACAATCATAATTTGATGAAAACTTTATAATTATAATCCAGATGATGATTGCAAAAATAATAAAGATAAACCCTAATAAAACTACCAAGTACCAACTACCTTTTTTTTTGAACCAAAAATTTTAAGTCTTTCACCCAGGCTCCAAAGTTGATTATATTGTTCTAATTGTTCAATGCCTACACCATCAATTCCCCTCCATAGAAAAGAACCGGAAGCTAGCGAGTGAGGAGGAGAAGCAACAATACCATATGATGGAGAAGCTAGAATCAATAGATGAAGTCTTTCAATTGTGTTGTACGTGCGAGAAGATGAAGCAATAATGAAGTCTTTTTTAGTTTATGGTCATTAAAGATGACGGGCGCATTAAGGATAGTTTTTTTTTTTAAAGTTGGATACTTATCAAATTGGCAGATGGTCAAGGATGATTGGTTTAGATTGCCTCTCTATTAGTGATAAGAAGTCGAATTGTTTGGAAATGCCTTTTGACTAGAGTGAGGTAAAAGCAGCATTTTTTGAGTGCAAGAGGAATGAGTCTACGGGGCTAGATGGCTTTTCAATGTTGTTGAAAATTTGTTAGAGGTACTAATGCTACAGACACTTGTTCGATTTTAAAAGTAGAGCAATTCCTTGAGAGGCCCATTTGCATGCTGTCTAGTGACTTTATAAGATTTGAACAAAGGTTAATCGAGTAGGTTGCGAGAAGTCTTGGGTGATAAAATTCAAATTTTTATGTGGGGTTTGTTATGAGTAGACAAATTTTGGCCATTGTGGTGTAACATGTGAAATTGTGTAAGAGTATAGGTTTAATGGAAAGAAAGAGGTTATTTGTAAAATTTACTTTCAAAACGATTATAATCATGTGGATTGGAATTTTTGGATTTTGTCTTAAATGTCAAAGGCTTCTTGATTCGTTGGATTATTGGGTGTTGTAGGTGGTGTATTGGGAGAGTGGTTGTTGAAATATCTAAGGTTTCCATTGGGACAAACTTTTGGAGTCCAATTTTGGAGAAGGTGGACAAAATATTGGACGGCTAAAAAATGACTTGTTTATCTAGGGGTGATAGGCTAACATTATTGCAGTCGTTGTTGTCTAATATTCTTGTTTACCTTTTATCCCTTTCTGGAAGTCTAAAGAAGTAGCAAAAATGTTAAAGAAAAAGATAATGGATTTTTATGGGAGGGTAGTGATGAAGGGGAAAAAATAAAACTTCATTAGGTGGAAGGTAGTATCATAATCTAAAATTAGGGGGGATGGGCCACGGGGAATCTAGTGAAGGGAAATATCGGAAAGTGATCGGGGTGGTTTTGCTAGAACATGATTGTTTGAGGCATGCTTTTCTTAATATGGGCTTCATCTCGATGGGTTGGGACTCAAATGTGGTGATTAGGGGTTTTTTTCAAAGTATTTAGAAGTTTATTTCTTTGGATTTAAGTTGTTTCACTAGACATATATGGGGTTGGGAATGGGGAAACAAATTCATTTTAAGGAGGATAGTTGGCAGGGTAAGTCCTCTTTTGCTTTCGAATTCCCTAAGCTATTTAGGTTGTCAAGGTTGCATAATATTGTCGTTGCTAGCATGTGCTGTTCTTCTTTTGCTTGCTAGTGGGGGTGGGGGTGGAGTTTCAATTTCTTTTAAATCCTAAATCATAGGAAAGTTGTGAAATTTTCATCTTTGTTGTTTGTGTTTGGAGCCAATAATTCTTGATACAAGGGTGTAGACTCTTGATTTTTCAAGTAGATCTCGTCCCGTGTTAAGTTAGTACATTTTTATTGAACTAACTTTAAATTATTTCTCGGGTTTCGCGAATAAAATCTGATTAAGTTCATTTTAGTCGCGTGACACCCAACCATCTCGTAATGGCTAATTACCATTTTGTCATTTTTAATAAAGTTTTAATTCTCCCGAGTTTTACACTAGGGGGTGACTTTGGTCAGAGATTCCCCGTGAGTTTCTAAATAAAAAATCTTATTTAGTGTTATTTCAAAATGGCTTGCAACTTTTGGTAGAGGTGGTTGCATTTTGTTTGTTTTTTTGTTTTTTTTGTTGGAACAAAGCATTTAGCTGTTTCGATTGAGGTGAATTGAAACTTTGTTACTTGCTGTGGGACTAAGATTCCTGGATTTGATTAGGTAAAATAGAAATGCCATATGTGCGAAGTTCATTGTTGAAAGTACCACTCAAAAAGATAGTTGTATCACCTGAAGTTCCTAATCTTTTCTGAGAACATTTGTTGGTTGTTGAATTGAGTAGTGACAATGAACCAAGAAGGGGCAATACCATGCTTTTTAGTTGAGTGAGTTTGATCGGTTGAGTGATTTTTCTATATTTTGATAGATTTCTCTTTTCTCTTTTGTTTTGAGCCAGGAAAGTAGATTCATCTGATATTTATGTGCTTTCAGGAGACTATATGAAAGTGACGACGAGAAGCTGGAAAATAAAATTAAGTGCATCATTCATTATTTTGAGAGGATATTTTCATGTATGCCTGTGGGTAATATCTCATTTGAGCGGAAAGTTCTTCCGTTGGAACATCATCCTCTCTGTGTTTCGTATCCAAGGATTAATTTTTGGAGCAAATCTGTCATCCCTCTTTGCCGTTTTGAGGTAGCAAGTGTACATATATGTTGTTTGTCTAATGATTACAACATCACATTTATTCAAATGATATCTATAGATATGATTTAGTCTGTTAAATGTTGCTCATGATAATTATATAATTAATGTTTTTCTGGTTTGCTTGTAGGTTTATAATTCGGGCTTAATAGAAGATCACTCCAGTGAGGCTCTGGAAGTGGATTTTGCAAACAAGTTTATAGGGGGTGGTGCTCTCCATCGGGGCTGTGTACAGGTTTGCTTCTTTGAGATAGAGTTCTTCTAGATGTCAGGGTTTATTAACTAACAACATAAAGTTATGGTTCAGGCTGCCCCTTTAATTTATCAAAAGTATTTCAATATGGCCCAGCAGCCAGATGGTGCTGAGTTTTTTTTTTTGTTGAGCCATCACATGCCACTCGCTTGATAGAGCAGATGAGCAAGAAAGGGAAAATATACTTAGATTTTTTTTGTATATATTTGAAACCAGGGACATTTTATTACTTATACTTGAAGCAGAACATTATTTACCTCCATACTGGAATATGTTATGGTTGAAAGGTTTTATAGCATTGTATAACATTCTATTGTTGTATTATGATGTTTAGGAGGAGATCCGTTTCATGATCAATCCAGAATTAATTGCAGGCATGCTTTTCTTAACTCGCATGGAAGACAATGAGGCCATAGAAATTATGGGTACAGAAAGGTTCTCAAAATATGCAGGGTGGGTATGTTTCTGTTGATAATGTATTCATAATTTTTACTTGAGGGGGTGCTAATGTGGTGGAAATATCGATCCCATAGCAATTGCTATAGTTCCTTTACATATATGTCTTTTGCACGTGAAAATATCTTGTTACATGCTTATGAGCATAACTAGCGAAACCCTTGGTTGGTAAAAAGTTACGACATACAAACATATATATTATTAGAACCCATGGTGCCATCATTGAACTGTATATACAAGATCTACTCAGGAAATAAAAAGTTGGAGGAACGGCCATGTGAGCAACAGAAAAACATAATGACATACTCTAAGATGCTTCATAGCTCATTACTTGCCCCTTTCCATTTTCCCACTTTGGTACTTTACCTTTAGTTCTAGTTTTTAAAAAACTATTTAATCCTCCCGTCCCGTGTTACAAATAGGGGACATTGAGAATGTGTTACAAAGAGGGGACATTGAGAATGTGTTAAAAAAGGGAACATTGAGAATATTGACAAAATGGCATTTGAGTTGAATTTCCCAATAGCTTGATGCAAAGAGACCACTTTCCAAATGATTAGTTAAAATGGATAATTTGTGGAGAGAATATCACCTTTTTTGTAAGTGAACCTTCCTCCATTATTAATAATGTATATATTCCCTTGTTTAATCTAGAAACTAGCACTTATTTTTTTATGGATCTACTTTAGAATGTCGTGTTGTAGCCTTTAAGAAGTTTTGTAGGCACCTACCCATGTTCAAATTGTAAAAAAAGCATGTATCCCACATCGAATGATTAGGACCACCCAAGATTGGTTTACATGTTTAAGGGGTCTCTCCACTCATTGACTATTGGTTTTGGATTAGATGGTCTAATATGGTATTAGAGCCTTCTATAGTCAATGATAAGTCTCTTGCCCATTAAATTTCCTAACATGTATGTATGTTCATTTCTTTGGTAGATCCATGTGTGGGTCCTGATCCCATGTGAGAGAGGCTGTAATGAAAGCTTGTATCCTATGAATGATTGTAACACCCTAACTCAACTCGGTGTGCAACGTATGTTAACTTGGCCTGCGGAAGCATGTTAATGTAATCTAGTGTAATGTAGTAGACCAACCCACATCATCCAAACTAAGGTATTTTGTATAAACACAGATATGGTTCATGCATTAGGACCATCCAGATTGGTTTATATGCTAAATCTCTACTTATTGTCAATTGTTTTTGGTTTAGATACTTTAACACAGATCTCATTACTTAGCTTAGTTATGCCTTTCCCATTTTGAATTTGTGATGTTTTTGTGTCACCACCTAAGTTAACTATGATAAATAAGTGAGGATGGGTGGATGGATTGTTGTGGAAGGGTTGCCATTTCATATGTGGAATTGAGATGTTTTTAAGCGCATCGATAACTATTGTGGTGGTTTTATTGAAGTTGATCGTGAAACATAGAATGGTGAGAATCTTTTTCATGCAAGGATAAGGGTTCATAAACAACTTCTAGGTTGTTGAAGACAAAGTGGACCATTGATTTTAATGGGAATTCTTTTCCCATTACAATTAGGGTTTTTCAGAACATAGGGAGTTTTAGTTGTAAGGAATGAAGGAGACTATTTGGAGGAGGTAGCATGAAAAAAGGGTACATAATACGACGAGAGGAGAGGGGGGTACTGAATTTAGATGTTGTCAAAGGTAGTCAAAGGAAAGAATCAATTAAAGATAAGATGACATTAATTGAGGTGATTAATGGTGAAAATTCTGCTCATCACCGAGATAAAGGAGATTCAAATGCAATTTTAAATTTTAAAAATGCTTCAAGGAAGGGTTTAGAGACGATTAAGAGAACAAATACTTGTGGGTGGGGTACAGGGGATTTGAGCAATGAAAAAAAAAGTGTTTTTGGTGAAGGGTCCAGTGAGTTTAAGGTTATAGCATAAGAAGTATGGACACAGATACGAGATACAGACATGCAAACACGAAATTTCTAAAAAAAAAATAAGATACTAACGTGTTGGGAACATGTTATAGATAATTGTGTTTTATATAAAAAATTATAGAATTTATCACAAATATAGTGATAATGATATATCATACATAAAAATTCAATACTTTATGATAAGTAATGTTATGTCTAGTCATCTAGCGTGAATTTTTAGGTTAACATCATAATAGTCAATAATCATTAATTTTTTCCTAGACGTATACCAAATATATATAATTTAAATGATTGTTCTCATATTCTAAATTTCTCTTTTCTAAATATTTTATGTATCTTTTGTTTTTGTTATTATATTTTGAGTACAACTTTAACATGTCTAGTCTTGGAGCATATAAGATACTTCTTAGTCAATTTTTTAAAGCGTTGTAAATCAAATTTCAACAAAGCGTTGTAAATCAAATTTCAACACATGTTTATTATTAATTATTATAGATAGTCTAAAGAAGTGTTCGACACGTTACTAAAGAAGTGTCAAACTTGTGCCAGTAATTAAAATTTTGTCATTTCATTATGGATACGTATAAAAGAGTATCGGACACGTGTCCGAGATTAATAGACATGTGTCGAACACAGATACACCACATTCTTGAGAGTGTCTATGCTTCATAGGTTACAGGCTAAGAGTTGGTTGGCTTTGAGTAATTTGGTTCTAGGATTATAGGATTGTTACAAATTTTACTTTGTTAGAGGTTCTAGTTGTTGGATGTAGTGACCAAAATTTGTGTATTGATAATAGGAATAAAATAAGGAGTTTTGTTATGGGGAGCTTTAAAGCTGTTACCACTAGGGCTCTTCAGTGTCGGGGAGGAATGGGGGATAATGGAGATTCAAGAACATGAGAGGGGAATAATGACTGTTTTGTGTTCGATGAAGAAAAATAGGTTTTGTTGAAGAATTTTTTGCAAAAAAAATGGATGTCATTAGTTTCGTCTAAAAAGAGAAAGGAAAGTAAATGAAAAGGTAGGAGTGCGAAAAAGAATAAGTGGATTAGAGAGCTGAAAAGCTGACATTCATGAATTAATTATGAGTGTGGAAAGTCTAGTAAGGGTGAGGAGGGTGTTTTAGTTTGTTATGAAGATTGTTAGTTGGAATATTAGAGGTGTAAGGTCGTGGGGAAAAAGAGAGGAAATTCAGGATTTTTTTAGGAGAGTAGGGCCTGAAATTGTTATTTTTCATGAAACTAACTTGGAAGTTATAGATAGAAGGGTTATCAAGAGTGTCTGGGGATGTAGGCTCAAAAACTGGGTGTTACTTCAATCTATTGGTAGATTGGGTGGGATTATTATTTGAGAGATTGGTAGATCGGGAGGGATTATTATTTGGGGTGAGAGATTTGTTATCGCAGAAGAGTCTATCGAAGGTGAATTTGTAGTCTTAGTGAAATTTAGATATAGGGATGGTGTTGATTGGTGGCTTACTAGGGTGTGTGGTCCTAATAAACCTAGGTTTAGAGATAATTTTTGGACAGAGTTAGGGGAAGGGGTGTTTGGAGTGTGTAGTCCTGGATGGTGCATTGGGGGATGTCGACGTTATTAGATAACTTGGTGAAAAGTTTAATGGGGATAGTGTGACTAAGAGTACGAGGGATTTTGACAATTTCATTAGAGAAACTGAACATAGGGTCCACCTTTACGCAATAGGGTATTTACTTGGTCTAATTGTCAAAGTAGAGTCGTGTGTAAGAGGTTAGATATATTTCTTTTTCCGTTGGTTGGGAGGATTGTTTTTCGAGTGTTAGGCAGGAGGTTTTGACTAGAGTTTTTTTGGATCATTGTTCTATTATTCTTAATGATGCTAAGTGTAGGTTGGAGCCTTGCCCATTTAGGTTCGAAAATATGTGGGTGGAGTATGTTGACTTTAGAAAGAGGGTTAGGGAATGGTGGTCTAAAAGTAAAGTAATGGGATGAGAAAGATTTAAGATTATGAAGAAACTTGAGTATGCTAAGTAGAAGTTGAAAATATGGAATAAAGAAGTTTTTGGAGATGTTTGTGAAGAGAAATGCGTAATTGAGAACAAAATTAGAGATATTCATAGGATTGAAGAAAAGGGTGGGTTTGATGAGAGTTTAAGAATGGAAATGAGGAATCTTACGAATAAATTTGAGGAGCTAGTGCACAAAGAGGAAATTAGTTAAAGACAGAAGTCTAGGGTTAAAGTGGGTCAAAGAGGGCAACAATAATTCAAATTTTTTTCATAAGGTGGCTAATGGCTATAGGGTGAGGAAAGTTATTGATAAGTTGGAAATTGAGAATGGTTTGATTGTTGATGATGAGAATTCAATTGAGAATGAGATGGTGCATTGTTTTGAAAAGCTTTATACTACTAAGGTGAGGTTGAGACCTACTTTGGTGGATTTGGATTGGTGTCTCTTAAGTGGGAATGTTGCTTTGTGGTTGAAGAGGCCATTTGAGGAAGTTAAAAGGACTATTTTTGAATGTAGTAAAGAGAAAACTCTTGTTCGGATGGATTCACTATGGTAATTTTTCAAGTTTGTTTGAATGTTGTGAAGGATGATTTGATGAGTGTTTGGGGAATTTTTTCATAATGGAGTGGTGAATGAGTCACAAATACTACCTTTATTTGTCTTATCTCTAAAAAAGTTAACTCCTTGAGATGGAAGGATTTTAGGCCTATTAGTTTGGTTTCTAGTTTATATAAAATAATTGCTAAAGTTCTTTCAGTTAGACTAAGGGAGTATTTAGGTGAGATAATTTCCTCTTCTTAAGAGGCTTTTGTGAGGGGTAGACAGGTTTTGGATGTGGTTTTGGTTGCAAATGAAATTGTGAATGATTACAGGGTTAGAGACAAGGAGGGTGTTGTGTTGAAAATTGATTTTGAAAAAGTTTATGATCACGTGGATTGGGTTTTTTTTGACTTTGTCTTAGAGGAAAAAGGGTTTGGAGAGAGGTGGAGAAAGTGGATTAGGGCTTTTTTGAAGTTTGAATTTTTCAGTCATGTTAAATGAGAGACCAATGAAAAAATTTAAGGCATCTAGAGGGTTGCGACTAGGGGATCCTTTATCTCCTTTTTTGTTTACTTGGTGGTGGATGGTTTGAGTAGAATCATGGATAAAGCAAAGGTGTAATTTAGTTGAGGGTTTTATGATTGCTAGGAAGAGAGTGTTGGTTTCTCATTTGCAATTTGTGGATGATAGCAATTTTTTCTCTTTGGGTGATGAGGTGAAAATTCAAAATTCGAAAAAGATAGGTTATATCAAGGCTTAAGATTAACATGGAGAAGAGTGTTGTTGTGGGTATTAATACTAGTGAGTATAAGATGGATATATTGACTTTTGAGTTGGGATGTTCAGTGGGTGGCTGGCTCTTGAAGTATCTTGGGCTTTCTTTGGGGGTAATCTGATGTCTATGTCTTTTTGGGATCTGGTTATTAAGAAGTTTGGAAATAGGTTAGATGGATGGAAAAAAACCCTTTATTTTTGGGGGACCGCGGGGGAAGGTAGGAATGATCATTTGATTTCATGAAAGGTTGTGTTTTGGTCTAGGGCTAAAGTTGGTCTTTTGATTGGAAATTTGTTAAAAGGAATAATAAGACTTTGGTTGGAAAATAGTTTTGGATATATCCTTTGGAATAAGATTCATTGTGGTGTTCCATTATTAGAAGCAAATATGGGTTACATTCTAATGGTTGGGATGAGTTTGATAAAGATAGCTTTCGAAGTCCTTGGAAGTTTATTACTCAAGGGTTATTAATTTTTTCTCAGAAACTTAAGTTCATGGTGGGCGATGGAACTAGGATTCGTTTTTGGGAAGATACTTGGGTTGTTGGGCTCCGTTATGTGATCTATCCCCTTGTCTTTATCACATCTCTTTGTTTCATGGCTATAAAATTGTCATTAATTTATTATGATTCTTCATCTTTGTCTTGGGATTTTGATTTTCACAAAAGTCTTAATAATAGGGAATGTTTGGAGGTGGTTGAAATTCTTTCTTTGATTAATAGTGTCTCTTCACTCAAGATTCTTTGGACCAAAGAGTGTGGACGATTGAGTCGTCTAGTGTTTTCTCTTGTTTCTCTTGTAAATCCTTTTTTGAGTCTTTAATTGATGATCCATCTCTTCAGTTGTTCCCCCTTTCGAGGACGATTTGGGAATCTAGAGTGCCTTTTAAGGTGCAAATTTGTGTATGGATAATTGCTGATGGTAAGTTTAATACTTATGATGTGCTTCAAAGAAGAAGACCTAAGATTTGTGTTTCACCTCAGTGGTGTGTTCCGTGTAACGATAATGGGGAGAGTATTGGTCATCTATTTCTTCATTGTCCTGTTGCATTTTCACTATGGAACAAGTTGTTTAAACTTTTTTTTTTAATCATTGTTGGGTGGCACCGAGAAGTATGCTTTTGATGATATGTTGGGATGTTTTGAGTGGGGTGGAAATAGGAAGTGGAAAACACTTTAGCCTTGTGCTTGTAATGCCATTGTTTGGGTGATTTGGTTGGAGGGGAATGGAAGGATTTTCAATGACAATTGTGAGGAGGTTGAAGAATACTGGGAACAACTTTACTTTTTGGCTTCCATTTGGGCATTCATGTCTAAAGACTTCGAAGATATCCCTCCTTCATGCATTATTTTGAGCTGCACAGCGTCGTGTGGAATGTAGTGCTGGCCTTTGCCTTGTTTTTTTGTATTCATATCTTAGTTTTTGATGACTTATCCAACTTTGATATGCCCTTTGTAATTTCGACATTCTTTAATAGGTTTGGCAGGCTACTGGCCAAGGCCTTTTCCCCCACTTTGAGTTTTATTGTTTCAGGATGTTTCCATCATTGTTTCGACATGTTTCAGCATGTTTTGAGGTGTTTCAAGATGTTTGGTATATTTCGACCAATGTTTTCGAATGTTTTGGAAATAAATTCATAAATTTTTTAATTGTTTTCATTCTGTTTACGAAACGTTCCATTTTCTAGGTGACCGAAATAATGCACTGAAATGAATTTTGGTCCTTGAACTTAACTAACTTGGTAAAATTGTTAACATTTTCATTGCTATGCAATTCTAATTGGTGAATTGATAGAACAATCTCTCTCAGGTGATTTAGTAACAATAGATCCCTGCCCTTTATCTGAGTGGTTTAGGTTTGCTTCTTCATTCCGGTTTTGTGGTGACTTTGTGGACAAAAGGGATGTTGATTCCTTGGGAAGGCGTAAAACGAGGATTATTGCAATAGACGCACTATGCAGCGCAGGAAAGAGACAGTATGAACATGAATGCATCCTGCGGTATGTGAACTTATTTCTAGAACTTTATATATGTAATGCACACTTGATGCCATTCTTATCAAAAAAAAAAAAAAGAAAAGAAAAGAAAAAATAGCTTACATACATGATGCCATTCAGATACAACATTTGTATGCAGTGTCTACCCTAGTTTGTTAATATTATATAGTACTATTTGCAGTGCATCATTAATTTCCTTTGTTCAACTCTATATGATAATTCAAATGGTTCCTTGATTCTTGTGCTAAATTCATCCAAAGATATTGAGAATCTTATTTTTAGTATCTTTGACGTCGTAGACATAGGATGAAAATGTCAGGGCTTTAAAAAAATTGTCCACCTTGTGTGTGCAGAGGAATATTATTTTGGTAATGCTGATAGTGCACATGACCAAAGCATAAAGCAGGTGGTGTAATTATTTGAAGTGTTGTACTGATATGTGACTATCTCCATGACAGTCTTGATGAGAGGAATACACATTTTAAGGCCTTTCATAAATGTTTAGTTCAAACCCATGAGATGTTGTTTATTCCAATTTGTTTAAATTACCAATTAAATATTGTGAAGCAACTAGTAGTTTTTTTTTGATCAAAGAAGCAACTAGTAATTAACTTTAGTGAAAATATGTGTCTAGATCATCATAATTTTAAGGGTAAGTTTAGGAAGTGGTGAGGGGAAGGAGATATACAAGGGTGGCAAGGGTTTAAATTTATGAAAAACTGGAGATGGTAAAAAAAAAATGAAATTGCTGAATAATGAGGTATATGGTGATCTTAGAATTTAATGAAGGGCCTAATAATGGGGAGAATTGGAGAGATAGACAAAATGTGAGAGTGGAGGCTTAGATGGGAGTTTGAGAAAAAAGAAAGGTGGGATCTTAGAGATATGTTTGATGAGGTTGTTTTCAAAGATCAAGTGAGTTGGAGGCAAAAAGCAAAGATATAAATTAGAACTTGAGAATGAGGCGATTGTGGAAGAGGACTCAGTAATCGAGAGTAAGATTATTGAGTTCTTTACCAATTTATATATACATCGGAGGAGACCGATATGTCAAAAATAGAAGGGTTAGTGTAAATTCCTATTGAGGAGAGTAGAACTAGGTGGTCGGAAAGGTCTTTTGAGGAGGAAGAAGTGAGACAAGGGTTATCCGTGGAAATTCATTTCTCAAGGGATATCTTTGTTTCATAAACATGCCAAGTATGTCATGGGTAATGGGGGTGAGGATTCATTTTTGGGAGGACATTTGGGGTGGTGTTTCTTCTTTTGCTTCCATGTTTCCTCATTTATATCTTTTGTCTAGAAATCCCAATTCCTCTATTTCTACCCCGATCTCATCTTGTTCTTCCCTCAATTGTTGGAACTTTTATTTCTTTAGGAACTTGAACAATGGAGAAGTTGTTGAGATGTCCTCCCTTTGGGCATTCTTGATAATATTGTGTTGAATCATTCTTTTTTGGATCATAGGAAATAGACTATTTCTTCTTTGGGGGATTTCTTGTAAGTCTTTTATTAAGACTTTGATTGATAAGCCAAGTTTCCTAATCTTCCAACCCTAAATCATGATTTGGAAGTCTAAAGCTCCATTGAAGGTACAAGTTTTTGCTTCGTTGCTTGCACAGAAGAAACTCAATACAATGATTTCCTTCAAAAAAGAAGACCATCCTATTGTTTGCTACCTCAATGGTGTATTCTTTGCAAGAAAGAGGAGGAAAGTATGGATCACTTATTCTTACATTGCTCCTTTGTTTTAAGAATGTGGAACAAGTTGTTGGGTTTGGTCGGTATTTCTTGGATGATTCCTAGAGATTGCATTCGTTCTTTACACCTCACTTATTGGGCCATTGTCCTAGCAACAAAACAAAAATTTTGTGGAGTTGTGCAGTTTTGGTTTTGTTATGGATGCTTTGGTTGAAAACAAATGGAGGGATTTTCAATGATTGGGAGAGTACTTGAGAAGACTAAAAGCCAATATGTTCCCATGTAGTGGTGATGGTGTCAGATTGTTTTTAGAAGCCAAGCTAGGTAGGTGATCGTGTAAATTCTCCGCGAGGAGGTTGTTCCAAGGGTGAGGGTAACAAACCTATATGCACAAGATCATGGAAGATTGAATTTGTAATCATGGAAGTGCAAATTGAACAAAAAAAATGCCTCAATTTCATTCTGGGGATAAACAATGATTGGATTTAGATTATTGAGAGAAATAGATTTCGATCTTTCTATTGTGATTGCAACAGAACAGGTATTTCTTGGCTGAGGAAAGTTGTCGATGATGTCGTGGAGTGGAAACTGAAAAGTGTATTCCTTAAGAAATATAGAGATAAATGATTTTGCATGTGGGTGGAAATGGAGTCTACCAGATATGGGGTTCTGTTAAGAGTTACTAAGCTTATGAATAATGGTAGAAGGATGGGCTAATTATCCCTAAAGGTTTTGAAGCAAGGGGATGGATGGAGTTTGGAAGGCTATTGAAAGGATAACATTTTTGGCAGATAGAACAATTGGTGCGACGAGAAGGGGATGGAATATAACGGAAGGTAATGAAGATAGGAGAAAACAGATGGTGCAGAAGAAAGAAAGTTCCATGTTTACCTTGGGTGATGAGTGACTTTTCCAAGAAGATGAAGAATGGAGCAAACCAGTAGTGTTCTCCATGGAGTGTGATTAGAAGAGAATTAACAAAGATATTGGTGTTTGAAGTTGAATTGAACCCTTTTTAAACAGATAAAGAATATTGCTTCGACGACACTATCAAGGAGGTTGAGCAAATATGCAGGAATGAAGTATGTATTCTTCAAGACTTAGTATGTGTGAAATTACAGAGATGCAAACCGGAATCGAATGCAACAAGAAGCAGAGGATCATTTCTGGGTGGATGGATTGCGATCGAAGGTCTCCATTTTCATTTTTGGCGACTAGAGGTTTTTTTTTTTTTTTAAATAAGGGATTGTTGTAAAAGGTTTGTTGTGGTCCACCATGAAAACTTGAATTGTCAGAACTTATGTTAGGTGAGAATTTGTGTGAATTGCGCAATTAGCGGATTTTTTAAGACATCTTTTGATCTCAATTATAATCGAAAAACCTACACTATAAAGGTAAGAGATTTTTTGAGGATGGATGGTTACAAAAATGTAAAGAATAACATGTTTTTGGGAGAAGTTAGAAGGAAATTTCTGTACACCGGGGTTGATGTTGAAGATGGAAATTTAGGTGAGGTACATGGCGGAAAAAGGAGGGATGTTGAATAGGAAAGTTATGCGTTTGGTGTCTTCGTTAACCATAACAGGTAGGCTCTTAAGGAGGAAATTAAGTAGTTAAATCCTATTAAGTCTTGAGATTATGAAAATAATGAGAAGGTTTTGAATTTTAAAAATGGTATTAATATGGGTAAAGCAACAATTAAGGATATTAATGAGTTACGAGTGGGAGATTGTACTGGGATTAAGTTGTTGGGTTGGAAGGAGGCCCTTTGTAAAGATAAGATCGAAAGATTGAAAGAGGATGATAAATCCAATGGAAAAAAGGCCTACTGAAGAAAATTTAGGGTCCCCTTTCAAATGGGTTTGGTTCGTCGAAGAATAATGGGTAGAGAATTGGATCTTTTAACACAAAATCGAAGGGCCATTTTAAAACTAAGTCGGGTCTTTGTTCGAATTTGGGTGTGCCTTTAAAAGGCGATTTATCCCAAATTCAATTAGGGCAATGCAATTCGCGAGTGAGACCGCGACGGAAATGGCGATTCCTGTGAAGATTGGATCTTGCGATTGACAAAGAGGAGTTTAGACTACAAGAAAAGGATACAAAGCAACTATTCTAAATTGAGGGGACAATGGGCTATCCCATGACGATGGAGATGGCCTAGATGATGGAGTGAGTGGAAGAAGGATTGTTTGACATAAATGAAGTTGTTGGAAATTCCTTTGTGAGTAACGACACTGATGATAGCTTGCCAGACAGTTCTGATAGGAGCGACTGTGGAACAAAGCCAACTTTGGTGGATTGATGTGATGTGGGGAAGTTATTTCAAGAATATGCACAAAAATGTGAGGGTGAGTCAGAGAAAACAAATGGGATTGTTCAAACAGAGGCGGCTTCAAATTCTATGGCAGTTTTTGATGTTAGTGATGATCTCCAAATTTTACCTAATGCAAATTTTTGTACTTATTAATGGGTGCACGAAATTCTTTGTGTCTTCAAAGGTGAATGATTATGAGGGGGCTCTTGCAATTGCTTCTTTGGGTTAGGTTTATGGGTTGCTTGGGATGGATGAAATTGGGAGGAAGGAGGATAAGTGTCAGGTAGGTTTTGATAAAGATCAAGAATTATCAGTGGTGGAATAAAGTGCGTATGTTTCAAAGTTGGGTAACTGTGTGGGTAAATCTGTCTCTGACTCTGTCTTGAGGTTGGGTATGGAGAATATGGGCGGGATGTCTATACTTGGAGGGATAGGTTTGGTAGTCAGTGAGAAAAGTGGGTCCATGGGAATTGAAAAACAAGAAGTTTCAAGGCCATTAATGACTTAGGATTTGAGTCTTTGTGAGCCTAATTTATGCTATGATAATGTAGATGCCACAATTAAGTTTGCTCGTGCAAAGTCCATTGTTGTTGAGAACTGGGCTATTATTAGCTCTGAGGGTAAAGAGATTCCCCACCAAAAAGAAGAGTAAGAATAAGGGGAATGAGAAATTTACAGTTAAGAATAAACTATGAGGTGCGGAATTCTAAGAAGGGCAATGAGGGTGCTTTGGTTAGGTATGAAAATAGTTAATTGGAATGTTTGGGGTTTAGGATCTAAAAACAATAGGATCTATCAAATAGATTCTTTTAAGAGTGACTCCAGACATTGTTATTTTGCTGGAATCTAAAATGGGGGTTATTAATAGAAAAATTGTTAAGAATGTGTGTGGGTCTAGGCATAGAAATTGAGTTTTTTTACCATTTGTGGGGAGATTAGGAGGTCATTATGTGGGATGAACGAATAGTTTTAGTGCAAGAACAATTGAGGGTGAGTTGACAATAAAATTCAAACATAGGGATGATTTTGAGTGGTGATTAACGGGAGTGTATGGGCCTAATAAGCCTAAGTTAAGAATGTCTTCGTGGGTAGAACTAGCTAGATTGTCTGTTATGTGTAGTCCAAAGTGGTGTATTGCAAGGAATTTTTAATGTCATTAGCTATTCTGGATAAAGAGTAAATGGGGGAAGAGTCATAGAAAGTGTGAGAGATTTTGATACCTTTATTAAGGAAAATGAACTTATTGATTTGCCTTTGGCAAAGTGTATTTTTAGTTGGTTGAATTTCAAGGAGGCATTGATGTGCAAGAGGCTTGATAGATTTTTGTTCCTTGTGGAATGGGAGAAGTGTTTTCAAAGGTGTAGATAAGAGGCTTTGCCTAGAATTGTTTGCCCATTACTCTTGATAATTTTAGCATTAAATGGGGACCGAGTCTGTTTAGGTTTGAAAATATGTGGCTTGCACACCATTCTTTTAGAAAAAAGTCTAAGGAGTGGTGGGAGGAAGGATGTCTTGTTGGTTGGGAAGGTTATAAGTTCATGAACAAATTGGAGTTTGTTAAGCTTAGGAGATTGATTTTAGAAAGGATTGTGGATATTGACAGGGTTGAGGAAGAAGGGGGTTTGGATGAAGGATTGAGAAAAGAGAGATGGGATCTTAGAAATAAGTTTGAGGAAATTGTTTTTAGGGAGGGACTTAGTTGGAGGAAAAAATCTAGGATGAAATGGGTGAAGAATGGAGATAATAATTTTAAATTTTTTCGTAGAGTGGCTCCAGGGTTGATGGCTTTACAATGACTTTTGTGAGAGTGTGGTGGCTTAAAGAAAGGGTTAGCATAATTTTTTGGTAGTGTCGTGGTTAATGATATAACTAATGCCATTTTGATTTGTCTCATCTTGAAAAAGGAAAGATCACTTAGAATATAGGATTTTAGGTTGGCTAGTCTTGTTACAAGCCTTTATAAGATTATTGTAAATATTTTCTCTATAAGACCTAGGGACAGTTTGTATTATTATATTATTTCAAGATTTCAAAGGGCCTTTGTTAATGGGAGACATATGATGGATGTAGCTTTGGTGGCTAATGAGGTGGTTGAAGAATACAGAGCTAGATGAGATTAACTTTTTAAAAGCATATGATCATGTATATTAGAGTTTTTCAGACTTTATTTTGGAGAAAAAGGGGTATGGGGTAACGATCAAAATTTCGTTTTGGTGTATTATTTCGATCACTTATGAAACAGAAATGCTTCGAAGTATTTTGGAAACATAATGAAAAAGATAAAAAATTTAAGAATTATTTATCCAAAATATTGGTCGAAATATATCAAAGTATTTTAAAATACATTGAAATATTTTGAAAAAATTGTGCAAATGCATTGAAATATTATTAAACATCTTGAAACATTATGGAATATCTTGAAATATTAGAATTTCGATTCCATAACTGATTTATTTTAGTATTCTTAGAAACGGAAATGTTTTGGATATTTTGATCGTTTCAAAACGATATTTTGATCCTTGGGTATGGGTTGAGGTGGAGGAAGTGGGTTAGTGGTTGCTTACAATCTATGAACTTTTTAGTGATCCTTAATGCAAAGCTTGGGCGCAAGTTTAAGGCATTTAGGGAACTGAGGCAAGGGGATCCATTATCACCATTTTTGTTTACTGTAGTTGTGGACTGCCTGAGTAGTTTAATCATGAGGGCAAAAAGATGTAATATGGTGGAGGCTTTATTGTGGGTAGAGAGAGGGTTAAAGTGTTACATTTACAGTTTGTAGATGATTCAATTTTCTTCTCCAGGGATGATGAGAAGTTTGAGTTTTAAAAAGATTGTTGATATCTTTGGGGGTGGTGTTTGGACTTAATGTGAACATGGATAAGAATTTGATTGTGGAATTAATACTAGTCAAGATAAGATTTTTAAATTAGTTGAGGATTGGGGATATCCAGTGGGGGAGTGGCCCTTGAAGTATTTGGGGCTTTGCTTAGGAGGTAACCCTCTTTCTCTGGGTTTTTGGACCGCTCGTTGAGAAAGTGGGTAAAAAATTGGATGGATAGAAAAAAAAACCTTTATAACTAGAGGGGGGAGACTTACTTTAGTTTAATCTGTTTTGGATAGTATTCCTATCTATTTCTTGTCTTTTTTTCAAAATGCCTAGGGTGGTGGAGAAGAAAATTGAAATGATGATGAGAGATTTTTTGTGGGAAGGTAGTGGTGAATGTAGAAAAGATCACTTGATTAGGTGGGATATTGTGTCAAGGCCTAGGGTTAAGGGTGGGCTTGCGACGGAAATGTGAAAGCTAGAAATATTGCTCTTTTTGGAAAATGGCTTTTAAGGTTTCCGTTGGAGCAAAATGCATTGTGGCATTTGGTTATTAGAAGCAAATATGGATTACGGGCTAATGTGTGAGATACTAATGGGGTTGAAAGGGGAAGTTTTCGAAACCCATTAAAATTCATTTCTCAAAGATTACCTTCCTTTTTTTAAAGGGTTAAATTTGTTGTGGTAATGAGAAAAGTGAGATTTTTGGAGGATTTTTTGGATTGGGGAGTCATCCTTAACTTATTCTCTTGTAAATCCTCTTTTAATTCTTTGGTTGATGACATTACTTTTCCAAATTTTTATCTATCTTTAAAGAGATGGACGACAAAGGTGTCTTTGAAAGTTCAAGTTTGTGCACTGGTTATTGCTTATGGAAAGTTCAACACTAATAATGTGCTTAAAAAAAGAAGACATCAAACATGCCTCTTCATGCATTGGTGTGTCATGTGCAACAATTGTACAAAGTGTACTTATCGATATGTTGTTATTAGTCAATAGTTGATAGTTGGGATGCCAATATTCCACCAAGTTCAAAGTATTGGTCGAGTCCTAGCCAACTCGATCCATTCCGAACTGATA